CAGCCTTCAGATTTTCAGTAGTTCATTATTCTTTTTCTTTTATCATCTATGTGACAAGGCGTCAAGAAATTCTACTTACCCATTTTGACAAGCATAGAATTTGGCCACCTTTTACTTTCTCCACTACTCTTACTTTGGTATAAACCACTATCTCTTATCTTGATCATTACATAGGCTTCCTAACTGTCAGCCCTCATCTGTCCTTGCTCCTTTTCATCCATTTTCCACACATTAGCCACAGTAAACCTGTTACCCTATCATGTATGTTACTTCAAGAGTATACCATACACTAAGCATGGTGGCACCCACCTGTTATCTCAGCAAACTGGGAGACTGACGCATGAAGATGACACGTTTGAGCCCAGTCTGGGCAACTTAGCAAGCGCTTGCCTCAACTGTCTTGAAATTCAAAGCCTAAAATAAAAGGGTATTATATAGTTCATGAAGATATCAATTAAAATCTTGTGTCATTTGAATGACAAAGGCAAGTACCCACACTGTATTAAAGTATTAGAAAGTAGTAGATAGAAATTAATATAGTATGCTATGTGAAAAAGAATATTAGCAGCAACTCCCTGTGTCTCACAGGTAGAAAAGTGTTCTCAGGAGACATAATGCTTGAACAGAAATCCAGAGCTTGACTAGGAAGTTTCCCAATAGAGAGACAAAGTAGAGATAATAGAGTATTCAGGAAAAATTCAAGCTGTAAAGTTAGAGCTGCAGTGAGTAGTAGTGAAGACTGTAAAGGATAACACAGTTACAAATGGACAAGTGAGGCTTTGGAATGGAGAGTGAAAATTAGTGAACAAGAGAGTAGCATCTCTTTATTTTATTTATTTTTTATTTTTTAGGTGATACCAGAGATTGAACTCATGACCTTGTGCTTGCCAGGCAAGCCCTTACTCCACTGAGCTATCTCCCTAGTCCTGTATTGTCATGTCTTAAAAAAAAAAAATGGATCTAATGTGGAGGGTGGATTGGGATTGGATAGTGGCAAACATGAAGTCAGAATTGGGTAAAATTTTATTGCTGCAATAGCGGTAAGAGATAAAGGAAAACTAAACTGAAGCTCAGGGGAAGAGCAAAGGGATAGACAATGGTGCTATGCTAACTCAATACTAAATTGTTGCTGTATACAGCTATAAGAATTTGAAAGGACAAACGAGCTCACAATCTGTGGCCTGCAGTACCACCTGGCATCTGTATTGTATGGAATTTAAGAACAGCTGTTGCTAAGCATGGACAAATTCAATTTTTGCAAACACTTTGCACAAAGCACCATCAACCTCAAAGAATTGACTGCAGGCATGGAAAGAAGCCTGATGTTATACACATAGTACAGCTGTATTTAGTACACTTCATTCATTCATTCATTCATTCATTCATTCATACAAATATCTACTGAGTAGGAGGTACCCTTCTAAGGCCCCTGATTGGCTCATTTAACAGACTAAAATCCCTGTCCTCGTGGGATTATACTCCAATGAAGAGAAATAAAAATAAATGTATGTCAAATGAGAATTGCTACAGAGAAAAAGGAGGGAAGGAGGTTAGGAAATACCAAGGAAGGGATGAAGGTAGCTTAATAGCTTAAAAATCTCCAAAGAGGATGTGACTATAAGATGAATCTTAGAGCAGTATTTAAAGGAAGCAAAGGATCATTTGAGCGAAAGACACCTGGATATTAGACCAGAGAGAAAAATTCTCACTTAAATGTGCTGTTTTATTCTAAAGTGTGTAACTAGTTGAGTGTTCTTCGTTAACTTGTGAAGAATGTACATCCATCAAGCAGCTTGATGCCATGGCCCATCCCAAATAAATTGACCTGTTTCTGCCTTGGAAAGAACTAGATTCTGGGAACTTCTTTTGGACAGGGTCACATGAGGTCAAATATTTAAAACAGGTCTTTTCCTAGAACCTCCTGATTGATCACCTTAAGGAGATATCTAGGGGCATCTCTTAGGCTCAGGTGGCTTATGTACACTCCCAAGTCTCGCCACCATCAGCCATGGTTTTATTTGGTTGTTGTTATGCTTTCAAATTGTAAAAAGTGGTGAAGAAATATCTGCACTGCCATGTTCATTGCACTGTAACCCTTGAAATCAATCTGTGTCAATAGGTGAACATGTGGCAAATATACAATCAATGGATGCCTGTTAGGCCTTAAAAAAAGGGAAATCCTATTACTTGTAACATGTATGAATGTGGGGGATAGTTTATTAAGTGAAATAAGCACTACAGTGAAAGAGAAATCTGAACATTTATATAAGTAGTGTAAAATTTGAGTTTATAGGAAGAGAGCAAAATGGTGATTACCAGAGCCTAGGGGATAAAAAGATTAGGGAGGTGTCAGTCAAAGGGAGCAAGTAGTTATATTTTTCCTTTATAAATAGAATCTTGCAAATAATTTTGAACAGAACATACTAAAATTTAAACAAACAAAACACTTTTCTTACTCAAATGGAACCAAGTTTCTGTCCAAGATTTTGATATTTTAGACAATCTTAAGTAACAGAGTAGAGTTGGACACCTTTAAATAAAGAGGGAAAATCCTGGTTTTTTTGTTTGTTCGTTTGTTTTTTTTGGTAGAAAGTAATTCTGTTGAACAGACAGAACACTCAGCTGTCTCTTTTGCAGATCTTGCTCTTGTGGTGGCTATATGTCCCTCTTTGGGTATGATTTCAGTAGTCCAAACAGAAGTCAGCATGTTCAAAATCCAAATACTCTATGTCTATAAATTCATGAACATATATTTTTTTAACAAAACATGCAATGAAATATGTTTAATTTTTTTTTGTTTTCTTTATTTGCTACAAGGTGTCACAACATAGCTTGGACTGTTAGTGATCCTCCTGTCTCAGTGCCTCCAGCCCTGGGATAACAGGTGTATGCCACCAAGCTCAGTTGCATTGGTTGGCACAGTGGACCTGGGAACGTGGGGATCTGGGGCTGGCACTGCATGCAGTACCGGGAATCAAACCTGGGTCCTTGTGCTTGCCAGTCAGGTGCTTAGACCTCTTAGCTATCTCCCCAGCCTGTTGTGACATTTTTTTTTAAATGAGAAAGACCTTTACCTGAGCTATCATATGTGTATAAATGGCATATTTGAGTAAGGAAGAAAGACTGTTGGAGAACTCTGACATAAATTCAACATAAAAATAAATAGTTGTATACTAATCTGATTATTGAGAACATTGGTTAACATCTATGTGCACAGGCTGTTCATTTGTGGCATTAATAATATCCAACTTCCTGTATTTCAAGTTGTTAGAAAGATGATAAATGAGAAAATTTCTCATAAAATGCATAGGATGTTATTAACAATGAAGTTATACACCTAAGAGTTTCAAATGCCCTGGTTTAAACTCAACTCTCAAGACTTGTATCCTCTAGCTACAGGAACTCAAGTGGACCAAAACTGTATCATTAAACTGCAGTGCCCCCTAGCACATTTAGGAAGTCAGTGCAGCTAAATGGCCTCATAAATAAGATCCAACAGAGATGGCTGGCTCTCTTCCTGGAGGAAAGGGCTGGTAACTGTATTTTTGGGCTATGTTCATTTGTCAAAAATCACTTATATTTTTTATTCAATAGTTGCCTATAATATTTATTTTTAATGTTTAAAAAGGAGTGACGGTGTAAATGCCATTTACTACTTAAACTACCCTCTTGCAAATTGCTCTAAATGAAGGGTATTTCTAAAAGAACAGTATTGCACAGGATTTGTCTTAGGATTCGCTGTGAATCTGATTTGTATTTTGATTGTTTATTCATGTTCACTCAATCCTTTATGAAAAGTACTTTTCACACAAAGGGGAAATGGGGGTTAAGCTTCTCTGCAAGATTCCACAGAAAGTTGTTATGATGAGCTTCAGCCCCTCAGTTGCAATACACATGAAACTCACCAATAGTTATAAATGTGTGTATGGAAACACCATTGAATATTTTAATATCAAAATATAGAACTGTTTGTTAATATGTTTTATAAAAGCCCAGATTAAAAATACACCAATTACTTTCTTCCAGAGGCTGCAGTACTTTATCTTAAATTCTTAATTTCATACGTTTTAAATAAAATTTTTAAGTTTGAATGGTCTAGTAGGTAAATTGAGCCCAAACTGATGCGTCCTTAGGAAACAGAACTTGCTGCTGGAGTTTATTTTCCATGCTGAGCATTTAAGTATTAATCAGCTCAGATTTCAGGGACTTCTTTCTAAAATCCTTTACATAAGATAAGGACTGCAATTCATTCTACATTGGAGGATCCAGAGCCTTTGCTAAGCTTTGGCTTTCTGACCATTCATTTCAGCATTTCATATTGTGTGTGTGTGTGTGTGTGTGTGTGTGTGTGTGTACGTTCTGTTGATGACTAAGCTTGAATTTTGACATAATTTTGGTTGCCTTTGAAATTAAATGTCTGTCTTCTCTATGGAGTTAAAGATCATTTCACCCTCAGTGTGCTTTCTGTTACATACTAAGGGAGGCGGCAAAGGTCAATTGTGAAAACTGGAAAGTGACTTTTATCACCAGCTGTTTTTCTTTATATGACTCCATCCACCTAACTCAGGAAACTCTCAAAAAATAAAAGCTACTCCTTGGCCAGCTACAGGCTTATAATGACCTGATCACTTCTAAGCCAAAACCTCTACTACATTTTCAATAATCCCTTGATTCCTCTCTTACTCCTTTTATGAATAAACATATCAAACAAAAGCAGCAAACCCTCCGGCTCAGAGCGGAGGATGCAGGCACACACACAATACCTCTTTCTTACTGCCTTTTCAACTTGGTTGAGGAGACTACATTTTGGCTTATAATGATGGCATTCACAGGCAGAGTGAGGTAAAAGTGTGTCTAATGACACGTTAAAGGCAGATTTGCCACACCCAGGGTCCTTCCAGCACAGTGGTGAATTCTCCCGGGTGCATGCTGAGCCCCTTCTCTCTTTAAGAGAGCCTCCCTCGCCCCTTACCCCGCCCCCTCCCAAGTCTCGGCTCGTCAGCTTCCCCAGAGCCATGGTTGGTCCAGGCCAGCAAGCGCAGCACCTCCTGGAGTGGCTGCTAATTGGGGGTGGGGTGAGGTGGGGTGGGGGGGGTCTGTTTGTAGTACTCCGGTCCTGATGTCACAGGCGCTGCAAGGACATAGCAAGGAGGAGTCGGATTACAGTAAGGATGGGCAGTGCAGTGAGCAGACCGAGCGCACGCTCCAGCAGCCGGGGATCATAGCCCTGGAAGGGCAGCCTGCGGGGTGCTCATCCCAGGAGCAGGCTTGCTCGGCGCCCCTGCTCTCCCCGTTGGAGACGTTTCCACCGCATGTAGCATGAAACGGCTCTGCTCAGTGTGTCTGCCTGGGCTGCGAGCTGAGGCTGAAGACGCCACCGCGGTGGAGTTCCAGCTGTCTGCTTAATGAGAAACATAATGTATTTTGGTGAGTGTTCGCTCCGACTATGTGATTCTGGGGGTGCCCGGCTCTATATCAGTCAGAGGAGCCTCTAAAAAATCATCTTTAAGCTGGGAGAATATTACATGAAGCCTACCTCCAGTTGGCAACTGGGAACCACGCTGGTGCGGCTTTCAAAGCTTTCTTTGTGTTACAGTTGGGGCTGCTAATTAGCAATGGATGAGTTAAAGTTGGAAAGAAGAGAGACAGGGGAGTAGGTGGATAAACTTTGCCTTTCTTTGTCAGCATGAAGTTGGCTTTTTTAGAAAAGCTAGGTGAAGGGGAGAAATGGTGCAACGTGGGAAGTCATGGGCTAACTTAACGGAATGTGAAACAAAGTTCCTGTACTATTGATGCCCCGAAAGCATAGTCAATATGAGTGTTTCATTAAGTATTGTGTTTTTTTCTTAATTCCCTGTCAACAGAGGAAAACATTCCCTTAGTGAGTGAATAGTGGTTGAGTCTCTGAGAACTCTGCTCCGTACCATCCAGCTGCTTCCTCTGCCTAAGGGCAGCTTCCTACAAAATGCATAATATTTAAAACCTTTAGATGTCTTGGACCTGTTAAATATTTGTGTGTTGTGGTTTCCTGCCACAATGCAAACCTCCCTTAGGTGCTCGACTGAGCTGCCTGCATTTCCAGAAAGCATGTTGAGGCTTCGATCTGGAGTGCTGTAAGTGGGCTCAGAGCTGTGCATTTGCACTGTAAGGCTGCAACTTACTGCTTGGAGGGAAGGCAAAAGCCTTTCCCTCAATAGGAAGAAACCAAGGATTGGGCAGCATATTCTCTCCTCCTTTTAGAAGTTATGCTTTCCTTCTGTAAGTCCCATCCGGTGGATCATTTAAGAGAAGCTTTGATATTAAAAGGTTCGTGAAAGAAACTGGAGAGGGACCAGGGGATGATTCTAAAATATCAGTGTTCCTAGGGATCCTTTGTTTGGTTTAAATATTAAATCTAGACACTTCTTTCAGGTTAGAAAAGTCTTCAGATATATGTGGACTGAGCTGCTAGTAGTTTGTTGGGTATTTATCTCTGTGTCTGTTACTTGCTTGTTTTGTTTTCTTGAGCTTTTGAAATATTTATGAAAGTATGGAAGGAACGCAAGTTGCAAAAGCTAAGTATCTTTAGTTGTCGTGGCAGCAGTTCTGATTTCCCTATAATTTGTGTCATATGAGGAAAGATGTCATAAAATATCCAAAATTGATTTGAAAGAAGCAATTCTGACTTCATAGTTCAATATAAGCAGAATCCAGAGTGAAGAAACACCTTTGTCCTGGGAGTAGTGATGAAGGTGATAAGACTGTTTGTTGTCAGGTAACAGAACCGTGATTATCATGCATGTACCTGAGAAACGGAAAAGATTATAAAGATAATATGTCTTGGGTAAAATAAAGTTTTGGCAACCGTAACAATATTGAGAACTGATAAAGATTTTACTTTTACTGTTAACTTTTCAGGCTCTTTTAAAGGTTTTTTATGTGATGTGGGGGAGTAGGCAAATAGCGCTAACCAAGAGAAGAAGTGGAGTCTAACAGTCCTAGGCAAAGACTGTCCATCCTGTACTGGATTACTGTGTGGCGACCAGAGAAGTGTTCCTTGAGCTAGCTCCTTCTATTCACTGTCCACTAGTCTAGCAGTCTTATGAAGCAGTGTGATTCACAGTGGAATTAGTTTCGTTGTGTAATGCAAGTTTTTAATAGTATAAATTGCTCTGTGATGTCCTACTTACTTCAGATGAAACTATACTCTTAGAAAAACAGGGCTGAAGTTGCCCTCTGTGTCATGAACATGGTTCGGTCTCACCATAATTCAAACCTGAGAAGGGTTTTCTATTCCTGGAAGAAATCATGTGAATTCAGGAATGGTGTTTATTTCAGGTTATGTTATGTAGCTGTTAGACATCCAGAACTCTGGAAGCTTAACTGTCTGTAATAAAATGTGATGTGCAAGAACTAGGGCAAAAAGCATGGAGTAGAACAATCCAGGCATGTTAAAAAATCCACTAGTATTCTAATGTCTGCAAAGCTCTAAGACTAGGAGGGTGTGTGTGTGTATGTGTATATGTACATGTAAGTCTGTGTCTACATGTCTCTGAGTGTACCTAATATTTCATCTATTTCAGGTAATTTTTCAAAACAGTGCTTTCACTATACATACTGGTTTACCATTACTTTCTTCATTTTTCAACTGCAACTGGTTTATCAAGTCAGGAAAACAGGGACAAAAGGAAGGTAGTGCTTTATAGTTGGGATTTTCTGGTGATTTGTGGAAATGAGGTGGAGGTGTCAGAAATCTTTTATTAGTGTCCCCAGCAGGGAGTGATGGAGAGCATGATGATGCTGTGGTACTAGCTGAATTGATATGAAAGCAAGAATTTACTTCCTTTATAAATAATATGATTTTTCAGGTGGTCCCTCCCTTTCAAATAGAACTGCAGAATGGTTGCTGGCTCAGCCTATGTGCTTTAATTTAAGCCTCTTTCCTTTTAGGGGTTGGACAGTTGAATCCTGTCCTAGTCGAGCTGGAGTCTCCTGTGTGTGTGTGAGGAGGTTGGTAGGATGTGTGATATTTCCAGTTCGTGTTTTCAGTGTGCGGTCCAGACTTCCAAGACCTAATAGACCCTTTGAAATGACTTAAGCCTCATCTTCTATTGAGATTTTAGTGCAATGCTTTCCATAACTGTTTCTTTGTCCTTACTGTGCAGTGATTTAAGAGTTTGCTGTTCAGTCACCGTGGATACTTTTGTTACTTATTGTATCGATCTTGCATTCATTACTTGGAGTTAAATATCAGGTTCACAGGCGAGAAAGAAAGAGGGAAAATCCCGGTCAGCTCAGGAGGAATGGAAAAGCAAGGGAAAAACAATAAATACTAGGCAGTTACCTTCTCCACCCCAATAAATATTTTACACAGTTAAAATTTACATGTGGTGAGGATGAATAGCCATTAATAATTTATCCAGAAATAAAAGCACAACAGCCAGGAGACTTCATCCCAGATTAAGGAAGTGAGCCTGTGGGTGGTTGTCAGTACCACAGGCAGTGCTGCCAGGTTACAGTGTGGTTCAGAGAGTGTGCTGGTATGGAGAGCAGGTTCTTTGCTTGAGTGTATCCTGGCAGTTGCTCAGTGCCTGGCAGCAGGTTAGAACTGTGCGCTGTCTCCAGCTCCGAGCACTGTGCATCCCTTCCCAAGCTGGCCTGAAACCCTCCTCTGCTGATGAAGTGGTGAGTCGTAGCTGACAGTGCTGATGCCACCTACGCAAATCACCCATGGTTTGGCAGAGACATGCGTGCCTTACCCTTTGCCGCCAGGGAGAAAACAGGAGGTTGGTTGGACCTGGGAACTTTTGAGTGGCCTCCAATCGGTGCGTTTATCCAGGCCTGCTTCAAGCAGATGGAGACTATGGTGAGTGTGCAGCTGAGAAATTTGTCCAGAAAAATAAAATGAAATTGTACACCTTTAACAGATGAGAAGGAACAAGAGACAAAATATGAATGCTTACTGTACATGTTGCTATTAATGGCATATTAATTAAACCTAGAGAAAAGGGCAAGCAAAATTTAGAAAGTGTGAATGAACCATTCAAGTTCAGCTTAGTGTTAATTGTGGGTCAGCTGTCTCCTTCACAGTGTCTAAGAAAAGCAGAAAAAATATTTAGTGGTGTGCCTTATAAAAACAAAAGTACTATATTCAGGAAGCTTTTAATATAGTAGCTAAAACAATTCTAAACCAGAATCTTATTCTTCTGTAATAGACATGTTTGTACTGTCTGAGGAAAGACTTAGTTTTTCCCCTGGGATGTTTCAAACATTCTCTGGTCCGCATTTGCACTTCTGGTTGTTGCTGGACCATCAAGTGTCACCATCAAAGCAGTATGTTAGAGATACAGTTAAACACAAGGTTATGAGGAAGCAAATGATCAGGAAACAGCAGGCAGCAGAGAAAAACATCTCTCTTTTCTACTGTGTTCAGTTAAAACATTTAACTCCCTATAATTAGTTGGTCATGCATTGACTGTTCTGGGGAATTAGGTCCACCAGAGTCTTTCTAGACACTCAGGAGATCTCTCTGTCTTCCCTGTGCCTAACAAGGGGACAGAGTAATTAAGAAAGAACTTGTATTCTCTGTTTTAATCTTTGGAGTCATTACTGTTAATTATTAAATGCATCTCAATAACATGCAATAAATTAATATATAACAGGGATGGGAATGGGATGGGTCAGTAGTGTCAGAAAGGGTCATACAAAGGAACCTGAAATCACAGCTTAAAAGAGTAAAGATTTATCTTCAGATAGTTTTCTTTTAAATCATAAGACATTTTTATTTTAAGAAGGCAAGCTCCAAGTTTAGTCAGTTCATCAGTAACACAGATTCTTTAATGTAGCCTTAAAGTTTGAGCTAATATTTTTTCTTTTTTTACAGGAGCTCCTTAGTGGCTCTAATTATATGCAAATGAGAAAAGTTTATTTAAAGGATGAGTTCAAAATTTATTGGATAATGAGGAATTATAAAAGTACTCTTGTTTTGGATGGGACAGATACTCACAAATAGAAATAAAAATTTTAGCCCTGTGGGTTTTATTTTTCCTTTTTTCACCTTCCTTTCAGAAAATCTGATCATAGCCATTTTTGACTGCAAAGTGAAGGACAAGATGCGCTGGTCAGGGAGTGTGTATTAAACAACACAGTGGCAAACAGTGCTTTGATGCACAGGCCCCTCTGTGTTATTCCTCATTCTCAGCTTTTATGCATTCCTGGATCTTTTTATATCATTTGTATTGTAAAACATAAAGATTGATTGAAAAACATAAATATTTAAATAAAATTTAATACAACTGGCTTTCAAGTTCTATGTTCTATAGATTTCAAAAATCAGGTCATAAGGCTAATTCTCAAAGCTCTCCTGCTTTACAAAGAGTGATGCTTGTATAAGCAGAAACTCATTTCTACTTTGATCTTGAGCTAGGGATGTTTCTATTTGTATTACA